TAACAAGAAACTATTACTCGTATTTTATTTATTATTTATATTATATTCATATTTATTATTTGCATTATTTATTATTTATTATTTGCATTATTGTTTTTAAGATTTTTGAGAGATGCCAAGAAGGCATCATGTTATTTTGATTTTCGTGTTGCTGGTCTAAAGAGAGGCAGCATTTATATTTATTTATTATATTCGTATTTACATTTTTATATAGCTATCATTGACCGGTACTTCGGGAAAGCTTTAATAGTTATTGTATTTATTTCATTAAGTTTCTTGTTAAAAGTTATGTTCAATCCTGTTATTTTAATATTTGATATTTAAATTATAAGTTTTGATAGTTCAGTAGTCTGACCTTTTAATTGAACACAGTCACTCGTCATATTTCAGAAGTATCATCATAGGAAATAACTCTGAAAATGATAACAATATATAATATGAAATTGACTTGAAAATTATATTCTGGTTTTAACTTTTGTCTTGTCTTTTTTGTTTGTTTTTGTTTGTTTTATATTTGTTTATTTTGTTTCTTGTTTTTTCTTATTTTTTTTATTTTATTTTTACTTTGTTTATGTTTTTTATTTGTTATCATATTATTATTGTTAATAATCTTTACAGATAAAAATCTTTACTATACAATAAATAATGATTATAATCACATGAAAAAGCATAAAGAAATAAGCAAAATGTAAAATAATCTTTTAATACTATTATATGTTAGCCAAAGTGCTAAATGATTCACAAAGAATCTAACAAGTTCATTAAGAACTTAAGAAAAATATGAGTTCACAAAGAATAGAATGAATTCATCAAAAACTCAAAGTATTATTAAAGAATTTATAAAAGAATAAAACACTAAGTTCTTTAATATTCAACTATTACTCCATTAAGAAGTATTTTAGATTCACCAAGAATCTTTATTATTAATCAAGAAGAGAATCACAAAAGATAGGTTAATATATATAAAAATAAGGTTAATATATATAAAAATAATAATTTTTCATGTAATCTTTCATGACTTACCCATATTTAATAATATGATGGCTTCACTTGGACTTCCTTTGCTTTGTATTTGTTGGTTTATTGACTTTCGTGCTTTTAATTGTACTTTGATCCTGTCTTTTTTATGCTGCAATGGTGTGCAACCAACAGGTTTAGACTCTGAGTTTAGAATCGCTACACGATCTACTGTGCAAAACAGGTCTGATCTTTTTTTTTGAATCTATGTTAGCACGATTCAGCACTAGTTCATATTCTTTTTTCGAACCAGTAAATAATGGATGAAGAAACATGTAGCAGTGCTCATCCTCGGACATCTTTGATGGCGCAACATCTGGGACACTGTTATACCTGTAATGTGTTAAAAAAATTGAGTTATAAATTCATGGGTAAAAGATATTATAAAATGAGTAAATTTACAGATCATTAAAAGCGCATGCGACTGTTCTACTTAGTTTTGAATTGCCACCATTCATGAAGACATCATTACCAAGAAAATGGTTACAATATGCTTCGGGAAGGGATGACAAAATTTCTTGTGGAAGCGGGATTCTTGAATCTTGTATGGATTAATTGCCGTAATTTCCTCCCAATCTTGAATGGTAAACATGGGATACGGGCAGGGCCAGCAGAACACCATTATTGATGATAAGGCTCTAAAGCAACAAGGAAAAATGCTCAACATAATCTCATATGATAGTCAATGTTACATGTTTCTGAATACTTACAAGGTTTCATAAATGTTATCATATTTCAAACCGCTAGTCTTCGCCTTCTCAAGTACCTCTATCTGATATTGTCTAAATCTTCGTAATACGTTGATGGCACCAACTTCCCACTAAAAAATGGTGAGACATGCAGAATAAAAGAACCGGGATCTTGACATGTAGTATACCTCATTTGTCGGTTCACGTTGCAACCCCTTTTCAATGGTGGTAAATCAAACTTTATTTCTTCGTCACCCTCAAGCTCTGTATCAGAAGAGGAAGACTTTTCGCTATTCTTTCTTGGTCTCAGATTCTTTATCTTTGGAGCACTAGTCACACTTGTTTTCGCCTAAATATAGAAAATACACTTGAGCTTTTCTCTTAACTTTGCTACCTATAATTTTTACCTTTTTACGTGTATGAGGAGTTGGTAATTTGATTCCTTCATTTAATACCTCCTGTGAATATACATAATTAGCAAGCTGTTCGGAGGAAAAAGAATTAGACCAAGTAAATACAATCTTGGATATATCCCTGATTTTGACTGCTACAAATAGTCCGGATTTTGATAACTAAAAACATCCTGAATGAAACTGCCATACCTCATCCTCATCCTCCTTTCCATGCTCGGAGACAAAAAACGGATTATTGTCAGCATCTGTGACTGTTTCTTCCTCACTTAAACCGTTTTTGGATGATAACTTCCGCTTCAAAACTATTATTCCGCATGATAAAGAAAAGGTTAAATACATAATTTCAACACATAATGTAGGTGAGTTTGAATGTATTACCTGGTTTTATCGAAGTGTCTTCAATGATCCCAGTTCCTTGAATATTTCCAGAAACTGTTGAATTATGAATATGAATTGAAGGTCCACATCCTGGTCCACGCTTTTGATCCCATTTCTTTGCTAATTGACGATCGGGCCGAGAACCCTAGAATAGGAGACTTAGAAATTAGTAGTATCCTTGACTAGTACTTTCACAATTCTCCATTCTATTTCCATCCCACCAGGTCAACCTTTAGTCTTGAACGTAAGACAACCCTATAGATTGCCCCCGCCCCAACACCAACTTCGTAGCTCGTCCTATAGACTTGAATGATACAGGACCCTATAGATCCTCCACCACGCCACCAAATTCTCTATATTTTTTAACCAAAATAACAAAAGTAAAACTTGCCTGTTTATACCTATCAAGCAATTCCCTTGCTCGTTTACCCCTTTGTCCTTTATCAGTATCAAAGATGACCTCGAGAGACTTTAGATAAATTCCTATCTTCTGACTGAAAGCTTGAAGCTCGCCATCGTTACAATCGTTTAGAAAGTCTATAATATCCCACTCAGAGTGTGTTCGATCGAAATACTTATATGTCTGCTTTTGGACATGAAAGGAAAGGCGAAAAGTTCAGTGTTTGACCCACAATAAATTGATAATTCTATCCGTGTTTAACTTTCGCACCATAGGCGTGGACATGATTGAGTACTTATACGTTTTGCTTAAAAAACAAATAACAGCTTGTTAGAGTTGGAGAAGTGAAAAAGATTTTACGATTTTGAATGATTCTCACGCTTTTCTTATATCGCTTTGTCGCAAGGCCAGCCGAGCCGTCGCGTCACAATAAAAATGAAGCCACTGATCAAGATCTGCTTGTGGCTTGGAGTTTATACATCAATTAATAATGCGTTGTACTAGCCCGATACGGATACGAGTAACCTAGCCATGGCGAAGAATATCCCAAGATTTGGCTGACGGAACAAATAATTTACTTTTTCACAGCCATTTATTTCGGGTCAATTTTTTTTAATCAGCTAATAATCTTCTTTTTATATTATATTGAAAAACTATATAAAAAATAATGTTCAAAGATATAAATTGCTAGCAAAATTTATTGTTATTAGTTTGTTTTTCGAGACTTATAATAATAGATATTCAAAAACATGAATCTTGCTATTTTTCGGAGCCAAAGACAATAAATTTTATTTTCTATTTCTTGTTATTCAGAACTTACATCGAGAATTAATGTTTTATACAAGAATTATTTTAAATTTCAAGTTCTTTATTATATATGTACATATATTATGTAGAAAGTCTAAAAACATTTAATACTTAAAATTATAAAGAAATTTTATTTTAAATATATATAGTCGACTCTATAATAAACCTTTCTATAACGAACTCTGGATATAACGAACTAGTTCGTCATAAAAAGAGTAGTGGGCTCTATAGAAAACATAGTGATTTTATATAATGAGCTTTTTTTTACTACAGTGAGTTACCATACAAAAAAATCAACTTCAAATTATATTAGAGCTCTCAAAATAATTTAGAAAAATTAGAAAATACGTAAATCAATAGTTATTGACTACTCTATAATAACATCACGTATTTTTTTGATTGGAAAAGTTCAGATTGTAGAGTTAATAGGTCTTAAAGATTTGGCCAATTGTGATAATTAAGTGACCTGCACTGTACCAGAACTGTCAATTCATTATAAAGTTGACTGTAATTATTAAAATAAATAATCTTAATATAATCTATAATACCACGTATTTTTTTATTTATAATTTGTAGTTAAATTTTTTTTAACATCAGTTACCTGAAATATCACGTGTATTATTTTTGATTGGCTGGAGTTCATTATGTAAATTCTATTTAACATTGCATATAATAACTTATTTGGAATGATAATTCTTCAAAAAATTCAATATTGGATGTCTTTAGACTTTCTGCATCATATAACAATTTTTACGACTCCAAACTGCAATTAATATTTTCGAAAAAGCTTGCTTTATGTTTTTGGAAATCCTAAATAATCAGTCTAACATTGACTATCTAAGCATCTTGCTATAAATTCTCAATAGTGGTAAATTATACATGAAAGATGTCACTTTCTTGCAGATCCAATACAAATCCAGGAAGAATTGTAAATTGATTTGTGCAGGATTCTCATGCTCTTGCCGTTATTAGTGAATCTTCAAACAAATCGATAATTGCTCCATTATTTGTATTTGTATGGAATTAGGAATCATTGGATCTGATCACTTTCTTATTCATCATCTGCATTTTCTAATTCACGACCTAGATAATAATTTTCATCATCATCACCATCATCATCATCGCCATCTTCCTCGTTTTCATCATCCTCATCATCCTCATCATCATCTCCAAATACATTTTCGAATTCTTCAAGGTTTTCAAACTGATAAAGTTCATCATCATCCCCTCGCAGAATTTCTCCTATAAAAATTGTAATTAGCAAAGATCAAAAACTATCATATCAAAACAATTGGGACTCACAAGTGTTCTTACCATTATTTTGTCTGGATTGTCTTTCTGCGTGCTGATATCAACGATAATGTAATTAAGAATAAAACAATAACGAACATGCTAATTCCAAATTAATAAATTTGATTACCCTGGTTTCTATTTGGTCATTTTGGGATTTATTATGATTTGATTCTAGTCTCATATTCTCTTCATTTTCAATCTCATCATTTTCATCCTCAATCTCATCATTTTCATCATTTTCATCATCATCATTTTCCAATAAATCTTTAAATTCATCGTCAGCCAATATTACACCATTTTCCAATGCAGCAACTTTACGCCGCAAAACCTTGCGCATTTTTTCAACGTGTGATCGTTTGTAGAATCCATACGATTTCTATCGGAAAAATTATTCACTTTAGTCAATTTGTTAGATTATTTGAATTAAAAGTTTATAAAAGTGATATTCTTTACTTGACATATTTCTTCGACTCCATCCGGAGATTCAATTAAAGACTTAAGGAGTGAGTCTTCAATGTCGCACATCTGGAAAACGGCTACATCACGGGGTTTTGTTTTTCCATCAAAGACGTGTTTATATAGGGAAGTCGAGCTTGTTTTATGGACAAAAATATTGTTAAAAAGATAGCTGTGAAAAAATAAACTAATTATTCTGACCTTTACTTTTCAGGTTCGTTATTAACAATCATTGATTCCTCAATAGTATCCACAACATAATCTGATTGTCCACGCAAAACCCGTTTTGCCCGTTCTATTCTCACCGGTCGTCTATTGTTACGGATATCAAGAAGTTGTAAACTATAAAAAAAATAAAAGTTAGCATGAATAAATAATTTATATAGAATGTTAAAAAAAAAAGATCATACAATCTAGCATCTTTGTCTTTTCGTGGGTCATAGCCATACCGAATCCAACAATCTCGCCACGGTCCATTTACCATCCAATACGCATACAAGGGTAATAGTCTATATTTTAGAGAAAAAAAATCCAGACAGAAACCATTTTTTTTATTAAAATTTCCCAATATTATATATCATAGGTGAAGATATTCTCACTTTTTGATCATTTTTTTATCCACTGTTAAATTGGATTGTAAGGCAAGTTTAGTCCATATCGGGCGGTTTTCAAAAAGCTGGAAAAAACAATATCTCTTAGTTTGTGTAGAAAAATCGATTTTTTTACCAAATAAGAAAAAGTTGATGTTACTTTTTTTACTTGATCACGACTTTCATGAGGCAGTTTTTGCATGTATTTTGTCACATCGGGTGGAGGTTTATCAGGGACATTTCTTGTATCAAAAGAAACAGAAATCGCGAGAAATTTATATCGACGACTACGATTGATCAGTTTTAGCATTGGCTCCTGAATTCAGAAAATAAACGAATAACATATAGGAATAAATATGACCAAAGTTTATACTGCGATCAAATTAATAATCCATACTTATAGCATTTTTCGCATTGATTTTATTTACCTGATTAGCATCTTTTTGAATCAAAACTTTGATTACTGCAGTATTTTGTTGATAACTATTACGAAAAATCATAAATGAATTATTTTATAGAAAAATAAATGTTACGATTTCGTTTCTTTCAGCATACATACCCGTAATCCATTGGACATTCGGCTCTTGAGAACGAAGGTGGAGGCAAATTTGGAAGAGGTTTTGCTTTTTCATTTTCCGTTTTATAATCAAAGTTTTCTATCTCTTGAACTTTTTATTTATTAGATTTATCAATCATTTTGCTTTTTCTTGAAAATCGAACAATTAAATTTTACGAAAGATATACCATCAAATCTTTCAAGCGATTTCCGAAAATCACGAATCGGATTGTTCGCATTTACAATATACTGAAAATCCGCCATTCCTATAAAAGTTAAAAACATGTACTTTGATAATTAAAACCTAAATCGAGCACATTCTTTTTTAATTTACCTCGAAAGCGGCAGGTCTTTGAAATAATACCCATTACTTCATATTTAATATTACTTTCATCAGTTGTATCGCTTTCACGTTGATGACTATTACTATCATTATCATTTTTCTTTTGTTTTTTTCGCCTACGAGTCACTTTTACCAAGAAATTCGCAGTGGGAACAATATCGCCATTAATTGGATGACAAAAAGGATCATTTACGCGATACCGCAATTCAACCAGATTTTCATTTATTGCCTATTATGAATAATAACATTTCGAAACCTTAAAGTATACCATAAACATAATTATTTACGCTGAAAGAAGATAATTGGCATTCCACTCTACTCTATTTAGTCCTCTTTGTCCTCCGAGTGTTTTTAAAACTTTATCAATGTTTTTGACGCGACCTGGATATTCAACCACAAAAAATTGTTTATCAGGTATCGATAGACAAGCTGCTGGTTCATATTCTGACAAACTTTGAGAAGACATGCCATATATAATTCGAGACACGATTTACACTCGAATAAATTGTGATGCGCAAATCTTTGATCACAAATTCGACACAAAAAAATGGAAAATGAAAAATACGGGAAACCGATGTCTAAATCTAACTTGGAGCTCTAATAAAAAATGTCGGTGAGGCAATTTTACGTATAACTTTGTCTTCCACTCTAAACCTTATCCTGACCCTGACCCAAACGATTTAATAGTTGCCAGCACACATATGATTTGCGCATAATACGCAGATCGAATATTGTCACACGAGGTGAATGGATACGCGTTCTTTTTCGCAAAACCCGATGATAAAGTAAAGAATGCGAGAATTTTTTGTGATTGAGGATTTTCTATACGCGACCTGAAATTGACTAGAAATATTGCTGAGACAATATTTTTTTCAATTTGAATGTGAACTCTCGAATGCGATTTAACATTCAATGGATAAATTTATATGAAAAATAAAGACAATTTAAAGTCTATTAGAAGAGTAAAAGAAGCTTTTCATCATTAAGCAAGTACAAGAAGTTAACATATAAAGAAGGGTATTAGCTAGTAAATAGTAAACACCATAATTATATGTAAACGCCTATTCACATCAGCAATCGACGGAGAAAAATTCAATATTTTTTCTTTTGCGGAACAAGTATCATTTCAGTTTGGTAGACTTGTCCGTCTTCTCGAGCTGCCCAATGATCCGCGTCCGCTTCTTTTTTGTATTTCGGCTGGATGTCTTCGCGTATTTTACGTTTCTCGACAGTAGAAATTTTGTATTTATCGTCGCGTACCAGAACTTTGCCCATGTCGACTTGACTGTCTTCTAGTGGCGCCATCATGAGCTGAGCTGGTCCTAAGAAAATTGTGAATTCGTAAAGTATGGGTTAATCATAAAGGAGTGTACATTATGATTTTTGAAATTTGGACGTATTTTAGTAAAACAAGAAATTAACTAACCATATGGTAATTTGTCACCACGGTCAACTTGCCAGAAGTGCCAAGTCTATTATTTATTGTATAATATATGAATATACAATTGGTATAATTATTAAACCCATTATTCGACTTACCTTTCCGTAAGTATCAATCAAGTCTTTCATAATTTTATTTTCAGTTTGATCCGCGACAGTTCTTGGGATCACGGGAGACGTTGGTGTGGTCAACAGACCAGATTTTACTTCATAGATGTGCGAATGCCAGAACTTTTTTTCGTCTTCAGGAAGGGCTGAAAATAAAAAATAGAAAATAACGGAATTCCAAAGATTAATTAACAGTTAACAATCAATCAAAAACAACGAATAGAAATAGTAACAAACCCATAAACAATTTAGCGGAAATTATGTATTCTACTCCAATCAATCGAGCATCCTCCTCGTCCGAATCGTAGATTACACATTGGCGAACTTCTTCATTAAGATGAGAGCAGTAATGGTGAGCTTCGACTTGTCGTGTCATGTCATGACTATAAATACACATATAATTGTCACATATATAGAATATGATTCAAAAAAAGAATAAAATATATTATTCCTTACGCATAGAAGTGAAGTCCGCATGCGTGTTCATAAATATTCAATACAGGTTTGAAGCTTTGTACTGCTCCGATGACTGTTTCGAGTACTTTGGTTCCCGTTTTCATTTCTTGGCCGACAACTTTTGGAGTCTAGTTTATTTCATTATAAAAAAGAATTGATAAACACAACTTGTAATTGAAGCGAAATCGTAAATAATAACATACAGGAGCTGCAGAGGTCATGTTGAGAAATTGTAAAATAATCGTTTATTGTCTTGAAAGCACCTTCATTTATAAGGAATTTTAGCTTTGTGATATCATCATTTCTCTTTATCACACGCAAAGGATTTGAATCTGAATGATATCGTCATTTTTTTGTCATTAATGTTAAAGCAAAGGAAAAGCGCTATTTGTGTTTATCGTTATGAATCAACAATTTATATAATATTTGTATTTATATGTGGTGTAACTCGGCACATACATTTTATAAAAATCACGTGTCCATCTTTCTTGATACGCGAAAAATATCTTCAAATAATTATTTTGATCTTAAATTTTGCGTTTAAAATTAAATAAAGTAGTATTTCCCAATTATCTTAAAAATATCAATATTAATATTATTTACATTAATGGAAACGCACTTGTAAGGATATAAGAAATGAATTTGTAACTTACATAGTAAATAAATAAAGACTCCAAATTCTTGCTGGCATTGACTGGCATTAATATTCAAGATACACATGAACTAATTGATTTTACTAATAAAAATCAATAATTATGTCTGAAAGTAAAACACCCAAGAAAAAGAAAATCAATTTCTCACCTGATCCCAGAAATTAGTCTATAAAAATCAATCATTCAAGATAACTCATACTAACATAATTTTATAATAAATTCATCGATTATTACTTCCTCCTATTTGGCTGACTATCCAATCTAATCCTTCAAATAGACTAATAATAGATCGCGTAGATGGTTAACTATGATTATGATTCTTGTTAAAAATTAGAGGATGTCACTTACCCATCACCTGATAACGCACAACAAGCCTGCAGATTTCATTGTACGGTAATAAGTTAATTATAATTCGTAAAAAAATTTGCCTCTTATTACATTATTACCTGTATGTGCCATTGTCTATCACGTAAGATGGTTAAATTAAGCGATTCGGATATCTGTGCTGCCGTTAATGCACCATTCATGTCTTGTTTATTAGCAAACACTAATAATGCTGCACCTTTTAAATTCTAAAATTAACATCAGTAGGTGAAATCGAATATAAAGAATTATTAATTCCATAATGATAAACCCGAATCTAACCTCATCTTCCATCATAGCATGCAATTCGCCCCTCGAAATATGTAATCGATCTCTGTCCGTGCTATCAATAACCATTATCACGGCTCTCGTTTTCACATAGTATGTGCGCCATGTAACACGCAGAGTATCCTGACCTCCTAGATCCTATCATTCAATATATATATATATAAAATATATTGAATTGGACAATAAATCCCGATCAATCGAGCGACACTAACTTACCCACATTAGAAAACGTATATTTTTGTATATGATTTCCTGACCATTTCAAATTTAAATTATTTATTTATTTGGTATGACGATAAAGAAACTGGTATGATGATGAACTTACTTCAACATTACTTCCTATTGTGGGTGTTGTTGTCACAACTTCATTTAATAAACTAGGATGAGTTCAAAAGGTAATGATAAAGTTTAACGAGCTTTGAAGAAATAGATTTTTAATAACAGGTAACTTGAAACTCACAGTTTATATAATACAGTAGTTTTGCCTGCATTATCCAGCCCAACTAAAACTATCTTTACTTCCTCTTTACTCATTAAGCCTCGCCATAATTTGCTTATAACAAGTCCCATTTTTTAACAGTGAGAATATATATTTAATAATTCGTGAAACTGTATGCATATGCTATAATTAGTGATCACGGAATAACTAACATGTATTGGTATGTTGAGCTATACCATAATAATATTTTTAATTTAATGGATATTCGAACTTCAGTATTATTTCAACCTTTTTCGCCAACTAAATCGGAAATGGAAATTACTACAGAAACCTCTACTACAGAAATTTATACTGCTACGTCCAAGTCATATGTTTCAAGGCACTTATTTTTCTTTTACCAATTCTTTCTTGCTGAAAACTCTCATTCTTACGGGATTTTTTCATGTGTATTACATAGAGTCGGTTTCGACACCTTCTCTCCTCAAGAAACGGTCTCTCGTGAATTCTCTTTCACCTTGCAAAAAAAAGTAGCTGGCTACAAACGAACAAAATGGTCACGTACGTTTTTAGTCGCCACCGACTTGGAAAAGTATAGCGATAATGCTGTTGAGTGGCTGTTGGAAAACCTGGTGGATAATAGTGACGAGATTGTTGCGCTGCGAGTTGTTCCGTTTGATTTTATGGACTCGAGTATGTATGACGGAGATTCTAGGGGTTTTTTTGGCGTAATGAGAGAATGAGGTCTTGCGAACAAATGAATTCGTGGTTGTTTTTCAATTGTAGTTTCAAAAAGTTCAATGCTTTCTTCTGTCGAGACTCAGAAAGAAAAGGTATCATTCTATTAAAAAGTTGGGTTTTACTTTTGTTTGCTGATTTCATCATTATCAGAAAAATTAACATTTTTTAATAAAATAATTCTTGTAGGCAATGGAAGACGCTAATCAATTAATGCAAAAACTCATTGAATTGAATGATGAAAAAGCTGTAATTGTTTGATCTCGTTTCATTTTTAATTTTTTCTCGATTTTTTAATGACTTCTTATTAAAGTTAAAGATTAATATTGTCGTGGAATTTATGATTGGCAAAGTTCAAGATACTATTCAACACATGGTATGTGTATCATTATAAATATTATATATCTTATTCGAAATAAATTGTAATAATCCATAAATTTTCTAGATAAAAATGTATCAGCCCGAAAGTTTGGTAGTTGGAACAAGAGGACGTTCACAGGCAAAAAGTTTACTTATGGGTAGTATATCAATGTACTGCTTACAAAATTCTCCGGTGCCCGTCATTGTTGTTCGACCGGAGAAGCGTGTGAAACAGGAACAAGAAAAAAAGTTGAAAAAGAGACAAAAAGACTTGCCTGAGCCATCATCGGCATCGTTATCTCAAGCCATTTATAGTACGGACAGTAGTCAATCAGAAGAGCGATCGACTAGTATAAAAAGTTTGGAGGGCCTTGAAGATACAAGCGGAGAAATTGAAAAGACAAAGTCCTTTTGAAACAAAGTGCTTGTTTGTGCCAGTCGAGGAGTTTCCTTTATAGATATGCATATAATCATATATTATTTATAATGGATGCTGATTTTATCCGATGGAATTATTATGCCAAAAGATATTTTTTATTGTCGCGTCGTCGTGAAAGAAGGAAGGATCTAATAATTTTTAGTCAACTGTAATTTCTCTAGAATTATCAAATTAGGTATTTTCAAAAAGAAGTACTAATTTGGAATTTCCGCTTAAAGGTGCGATTTGCTTTCAAAGTCACTTAGCAGATGCTTCTGATAACATTATTCTCGTAGCTTTTAACTTAGCAAAAAAGATCTATAAATAATTTTAAATACATTCATCTATTTATTGAGTCATACACAATAAATTATTAAATTAACAATTTGCCCGCGGGACTTCCAACGATTCCACCTTTTTCGGAGTCAAATACAACTTGACCTCTTAAAATAGTTTTCTTTACTACCCCGTAGAGTTTTTGACCTTCATAGGGTGTGGTTTTATTCTTAAATTGGATGTTTTCCTTGGCGATCTAATGCAAATAAAATAATGAATAAAAAACAATTACGAATGATTTAATTCGCTAAAAAATATAATAGCTTACAGTGAATGTTTCTTCTGGACTCCAAATGACAATATCAGCGTCAAATCCGACTTTTATTTCGCCTTTTCTGCCATCTAGTTTTACTTGTTTGGCTGGATTTCGTGATAGCCATTTGTGAAGGTCATTTATGCTGTATTCAATAATTATATTAATTTAATTATTATTTAAATGTTCAATATGTGGACAAAAATGTGGACAAACGCGTACTTGAACCCTCGTTTTCGAGCTTCAGTCCATAATATGGGTAACCCAAACTGTAACGCGGAAATGCCACCCCACGCGTTCGTAAAATCGCCTTTTTCAATTAATTTTAAATCAACGGTACATGGGGAATGATCCGATACCACAGAACCTATGGTACCATCTCTTATAGCCTAGCAAAAAACACGAATTTCAGATAAGCAACACCATATTCATCTCAAATCAAAGCAACAAGACATCAAAAAAACCAACCAACCGCCCAAAGCAACTCTCTATTCGCATTTTTTCTTATCGGAGGACAACACTTGAACTGAGTAGCACCAATAGGAACCTGCTCAGCCGTCAAACACAAATAATGAAAACACGTTTCCACAGTCAATGGGGCACCGGATCTTTTTGCCTCGCGTATAGTTGGTAACGCGTCTGCAGCCGACAAGTGTACAATATGTGTACGGACGGTTTGGTATTCGGATGTTAGTCGCGAGATTAGCTTTATGGCGTTGGACTCGAGTGATTGAGGTCGTGAAGATAGAAATTGCATGTAATCTTTATCATCTTCTATAACAGAATTATTACTTTCATCATTCTCTTTTTTTTCTGCATGAAACATAAATAACGAATCATGGCCCTATAAACGATAACTAATACATTAGATTATTAATATCAATCACTATAATAAATCGAACCACAACTTATATAAACTCAACTTTAAGCTTCTCAAAAGCCTTACGCAAATCCTCCTCTGTAAGACACGCAGGAAATTCCTCAACTCCACTCTCAATCATAAAACATTTGAACCCTTTAACACCTGCTTTGATCAATGGCACTAATTCGTCCTATTTTTTAAAAAAAATCACGTAAATATAGCTAAGGATTCGAAAGATTCGAAAATAAAATTGAAGATTAAGTACTTGCCTGATTTCCGGGAATTACTCCTCCAAAGAAACCAACATCAACCCGACACTTGTCACGAGCTGCTTCTATTTTCGCGTGTAAATTTGGAACGGTCGTGGTGGGTGGTATAGAATTCAATGGCATATCTATAACGGTGGTCACACCACCTAAAATTATCAAAAAACAAATTATTTCCGTATATTTAACGTGTCAAATATCCTTCCGAGAAAAGAAAAGAAAAGAGTTCAAACCAGCACAAGCTGCCTTCGTCCCACTCTCAAAGCCCTCCCATGCCGTCCTTCCTGGTTCATTCAGATGAACGTGAGTGTCCACTAAGCCACATTGCACCACTTGTTCGCTACCGACTTTTAAGAATTTTTCAGGGGCAAGCGATGGATAATCGGACGCATGTACACTTTCTCTAGCGTGAATTGCTGTTATTTTTCCGGATTGGTCTATTTCAAGTGTTCCCGGCGAGGCTTCGGTAGAAAGAAAAGTTAGAATGCGCGGTCCAGTAATTACTGAAAGTTTCGTTGCAGGCATTTTATTAATATTTTTCAACATAAAGGGTATCGATCGACAATATTCCACAACTTTATAATAAGTTAGATTTTGAACTGTTTTACATTTTAGGTATAGTTGATATAATCTAATTGTGACAACTGTTAACAACTTCAATATTAACCAATCACATATCCAGAATCTTAACCCTAACTCTAATTAGTCAATTGAAATGCAGTTGTTGCAAATAACAGTTATTACAAATACATTTATTCTTTATTTATTTGATTAAATAAAATAATTTATTAGCTTGGATAAGCATAATCGGTATAACGAATATGGATAGCATAGCCAAATTCCCGTAAAACCACGATTCCGATTTGTTATTAAATGTGGGTGATCATCCTTAGTTAATCGGATCGATTATTATCAAACACATCATTAATATATTTATGTTGTGCCTCAGATCGATTCTTGCCTCAGGTGGCAATTGAGGCGCATCAGATGTCAATCATCAGGTAAGGTGCGTAACCTGTTGATTGATTATTTGAGGCACCTCAGTCGTTACCCGAGGCATCTCAGTCATAATCTGAGGCACGACATTTATAAAAGAATGACCTACGGATTCAATAAAAAAAAAGAATTATATTTCTTCAAATCAAAAATGAAAGCAACATCCGGGTTCGTATGATCGTCAACTGTCAGTGGTGAGATTTCCTTATGATTATCTATTTCATTGGAATCTTTTTCATCTCCAAATAAATTGTCCAGTTTCGATGCTTTCTGCTCCTTTTTATTTTCTAATAATTTTTGGAGTTCAAGAATTGCTCCGTACGTTCCTTTTGGCCTAACTATTTCTCCAATAGTGCGAAGTTGATCATTGTCGAGCTGGGAACCAAAGCATTGGTTAATAAATTTCAAATAAAGAATTGAAATATTTAATTCTTTTCGAGAGATTGCAAGCATTTCTCTGCTTCGGGTTCTAAGATGGTCCAATTTTCTAAAAGGGATGAAAACTTTGCATTCAATTCTGATAATTCATCTTCTGATATAGGAGTTGCGATTTCTGGATCGGATAGATCTATAATCCTCCACCAAATTAAACTATAGAACCTGGAAGCCACCGGTAACAAAATGAATCAACACTTACCAAACACTTACTTTAAAGATAATTCATATTTAGTCTTTTTATTATTACAATTAAAAGCATTGTAAATTAATGAATCACGCTCGTGTGCTATTTTATCCAGCCAACTTGGTTTCGGTGTATCAAATTCCCATTCAACAAAGGGTTCTTCATCATCTAAAATCTATGTACGCATTCACAAAATTCTTATATGAGAAAGCTTTTTTTTATTTTGGAAAATTAATGTGAATAAAGTTCTTCATCTTTACGTTGACGTTTGTACGAATGGTCATCTTCCGCAAGTAATTTTTTCACGCTCCTTTCCCTTTTCCGAATTGGATGTTTCTCGTAATTGATCAATAAGTTTTTGGTTTTGTTGCTGGTCCTAAAAAATTTTTGGTAAATTTATTAGTCTATTGTGAATGCTGGTTTCAGACTTTCATAGATCTTACCTTTAATACTGTGGCAGTGTAAGTCGATGTTACATTAATTCGCGTTTCCTCACGATATTCAAGGTTCTTAATAAATTGCTTTACCTCGGCAGTGGAGAATGAAAAATTAAAATTCGATAAAATTTTTGTCGCTCTGTTTTTGGTATACATGTGGATGTTACATTTGTCTTTATAGCTACATAGTATTGCGTATAGATCTTCCTTGAAATCATTAATTGTAGCGACAGATAATTTCGAGTTCGATTGTGAAAATTCTAAGATTCCAAGGATCCAAGGATTGTCCAATCTTTACTTTTTATTTTGTCAAGATATTCTGTTATGGTGGATTCAAACATCTAAAAAAAATAAAGCAATTATTAGTAATTTATCCATTAATAAAGAAGCAAGGTAATGTTTACAGTCAACTGTATACTGGAAAACAGCATACTGGAACGTGCCTTAAACACGTATGCCTAAGGATTGTCCAACAGACTGCCTCCAAACATCTGAACGCAGGAAGGTGTTGCCTAACGACAGTAGGGATACGCGTGACTGTAAACTTTACCAGAATACAAAGAGCTATGAAGGCATAGATTAACCTTATTTTTTACGTTATATTCGAAAGATCCTTCAGTAATAAACGTGTCTGTGCGGATAATTAATTTGTAAGCAAAGTGGTAAATTCTCGAATCTTTTTTCAATGTGGGCTAAAACCTTTCTAGATAATATCGTAGTATATAATAATAGATTCTCAAATATATAGTTATCTTCAGCAAGTTAACGGAAATCTTGTCACATGAATTTTCGTTATTTTACATGAAAATAATTATCATATAGTTTATCTCCATCAGATTATCTAGGTAGTCGACTACTCTTTTCGGGGGACCGTTAAACGATAACGACTTTCTAGTAAGTGACAGATTCTCATCACTCTTTCCCATGCCCTCTTCACGGAAGGATTTACTTATGATACAAAACACGTGACAAATACGTGTTAGGAGTTTTAGCCTTTAAAGTCAGGCTAATGGTTAATGTCAGAGTTGTACCAGTAATCGCTATTAAAGTGCGTGCCCGACGTGCCCAGAAACTCACAATAGAGTGTCTGGTAGCCACCCCCAGTATATTGCTCAATAACCCCTGTTAGAGTACCCAGAGTGGGTGAGAGACTCGAGGCGTCAACAACCACTTTAAATACATTTTCCCCTATTACCCCCATGATCAGTGTTGTCACTTGGACGTAAATCCAGCAATTTGATTGGTTGGGACAAGCGTCCTGACAAATCAAATTGCTGGATTTACGTCCAAGTGACAACACTGCCCCCATGTTTGCAAAATTGTGGGTTTTCTGTCAGATCTAAAAATTGAAGAACTATTGGTTGTGCTCAATATATATGTATAGTCTCGGGGCTAAACCACGAAATTAAACTATACAACTGTGTCCTGCTTATCTTTTCAACGGAACACTTACAAAAATGAAGGCGCATAAAAAGGTTTGTTATCTAGTTTGGGTACACCTTGGGACTTAGGTATTTCTTGGTTAGTTACTTTTTTTTTTTTAGTTTAATATAAATTTTTGAATTTCGCCACTTATGGAAATTGTTAGTGAAACTGAACTGTTATTGACTTTTAGATTGAAGACGAAAACTATTATTTTAGTAATCCTTCATCTTACGCACTATATCTCTAATCAACCGAATACAATTTTGGCAAAACGATTTCACGTTTGTTCCTTGTCGTTGTTTAAGTTTCTATTAATACGAGTCAACCCGTTCAATTGCTGGTTTATACGTCAAATAGCATAACAACAATATCACACAAATCCATTTTCATCCATCGATTCCTTCGAAAAACTAATTTGCAGCGAATTTAGACTTAGATGAAGTTTATAAGAGTGGTTTCTTTCTTTCACCAATCACAGTATATAATATTTCATATTAATCATAATTTAACTGAATCATTTGATATAAAGAAATAACCGAGTTTTTCATATGATGCTAACTAAATGCTAAAAATGTTTGATTGCTTCGAATTCCAATCTTTCTTATACCAATTATTACGTAATCCATACCAATATAAAATTTTATTCCATATCCTCTTCCTCCTCTTCTACTATTTCACTTTCCCCATCGTCATACTCAACCTCTCCCTCTTCGTCGTCTTTAATATCGAATATCAATATTTTCCTAGCATCATCACTAAGCACGAAAATTTCGCGATTTGTCGCGATTTTTGAGGGCCGGAATTGTGTGATTATGCGTGATTTCTGAAATTGGACTTTAGGACATTCATTTATATCCTAGTATGGAGAGACAATTGAGCTAGAGATATATACTCTTAATAATTTAAAAGAAAAATTATAACCCTTACGAGCTTAATCAAAGCCTGTTCAACTATTTCCACTATATTGTGTAAATTTTCTAGCTTGGTATAGTTTAGCTCGATGTAATTTAACTCCGATAACGAATATATTTCGCCAGCTTTGGTAGAGTTAGATTTAGCATTATAACATGAAAAACTGCCGCTACTATATAATATATAATGAATAATACTTACCATCTTCATTAATTGTGTTTGTTAGCATTAGCAATCTTTCGTCTTTAAGGAATTGAAGATCTAATAAAGCCAGATTGTCATCATCCGAGTTATTCTCAGTCTTAAGTTGTAAACATGACACTTCACATATATTTTGTATACGCGAGTCTTGGTTAGCTTGATGCTGATGATGTATTGAATCGAAGGAAAATCTCACTATCCACACTTAAATATATGGTATAATTTAATGAAACTGCAGTTTGAAGAGCGAATTTTAATGAATTTCTTTAGCACATACGAGTATGATTTTCAGTCTTAAAGAATGAGCGTGGAAGAAAGAAAGCAACATAGTGATATGTATTTGATTTCTATATATTATGAAACATATTTAAAGATTAAAGATGAATATTTCAATGCAGGATTTATAATGAATTGTCGACACACCTTTACAACAATTCGACTGTCAATCAAAAATTTTGCTGATAATGGATTTCCTTGCGCATCCCATTCTTTGGTTACTTCATCATTATCAAATTCTATAATCACAATCGACTTATTTGCCACAACAGATCTTGCCACATTATTGGCTGTTGAAGCGTAGAGAGTTGAACACTTTTCGGACAGTGTGTCAATATACCAACGAATAATGTTTGAATGATTATTATTTTTCTCGTTTTCTGATTTGATTCGTGTAAAATCATATGGATATGTAGGAAAACTAGGGCTTCCCGAATAATCTAAGAATTTAAATTAATTAAATAAGGTATGCTATTTATATAGTATTTCAAATTTATCTTACCAAAAGGATCAGGAACTTTTGTGGTGCGAGGAATTGGTGTAGGCGATATTGAAGCTTCTGAGGGAAAATCATTTTCTGACTGTATTACACTGTACGATGGTTCTACAAAGAACTCATCAAGAACTCCTTTGTCCAGTGAATTGCGTAAATATGCAGAAACATTTTTAATGTCACTGAATATGGCGCATTCTGAATTAGGACCACCATGGTCAAGAGATATTAAATTGTCAAATACTATAAAAAAGAATATTTTAATATGGTTATGATGATGAATTATTGCTAAATTGTGAAATAAGAATACATGCCAGTTTGAAGCCATTCTTGAAATTCCATGAAATTCTGATATTCATTATCAATGACCGACAGCAGTTCTTCCAATCGTCCAATTAAATACCCAATCAGAATGACGCAGGAATGAACAAATTGTTCTTTAAGCCCAAGTTGTTCAAATTTTTGAGGCCTTAGAATAATCGTAAATATATACATTTAGCATTTAAACGTAAAAACAATAATTATCGTGGTTATATTAAAACCTACCATTTACTATAACCAACAAGCGCCGTTATCTGCAAAAGTAATCTTTCACAGCAGGGTCGAACATAATCATGAACAAATTCTCTTATTTGCTCCAGGCTTTTCAAGCCTTTATTTTCCCAATCTTTTAATCCCTAGAAAAATGATTACTATAATAAATTAAGCAACTAAATAAAAAAGATCAGAGAAATCAAACTTACGCGTTTCGTTAGACGACTTTCAATATATTCGCTCATGGTGACACTTGGTCTTCCTGTAGCTAATAATCTGACGAATTCGGCCCTCAATGTCGTATTTACTGCAATAATAAGTGAACTTTTTTTTATTAAAATTTTACTCTGGATAAGTTGATCCATGCATACTAAGACTTACCTTCATGATTTTCCAGCACTTCTTGAAAAGGTTCGGTGTAAGCTTTTGCAGATTCTTTCATATGATCATATTGCGATTCCATTTTCTTGATACCTTCAACGATATAATTTATTAGGAATTTGATAATTGTATATCTTTGAGAGAGAATGCGAATCTCAGGTTTATGAGTATGAAGCAATCCGGTGCCAAAAGTCAATTCAATATAACGTTTTTGTTTCTTTTCAGCCATAGTGGATGATGAATCGCTTTCTTCGTCTTCGGAAAGGATCAAAAGAGCCAGGAGTGATAGATCAGAAGATACAGAAGCACTAAGAATTTTCGCGTTCTTTATGTAAAAAACAATATATATTATTAATATTATAGTCCGTATTAACATTAATATCAATATTAGAATTATATTAATACAAGATATCAGTAAATTTAATCAACATACTAATGAAATTCCCAAACCATACCCGCGATTTGGTAAATTCAGTCAAAGAAATTGATTCGAGATTATAGATTCCGTAAACACTTTATCAATAATAAAAATAAAATTAATACAAGTTGCAGTAATACTTATAGATATAATGAAAGGATCACTACGCGTGTACCTTAGATGCAAATTACCATCTGTATCACCAGCAACAAGCAAATCAATCGATTTATTCATTTCATCTTCAGTATCTTCGCCATCATCAATTTCACTTGGATATCCTAATATTTTACTATAATTCATTATAAGTTACGCGATAAATTTTTGCAAAAAAAATTGATTGAGAACATCCAATTCACTCACCTAATTTTTGAGCCTGGGATGGTGCTTAAACGTGGCATGTATTTCTCTCCAGGATAAGTACTCAAATAGTTAGGGTCCTGGGTTTAATAGAAGAAGTAAAGCCTTTTCTAATTTCTCGCCAGTTGAAATCATTATTTCTAAATTTTAACGAAATAAGCTCAGTTACCTGGTACTGGGAAATGGGTAATGCTTCTTGATCATTATTTTCTTTATCATCTAACCAAGTAAGAAAATTTATTCCTGCTACGCTGTCAGCGTTATTACTTGTTGACTGCGATAACGGAGACGAAGGGGATGGTGCAGATCTTTGTGATAATTCATGTATCATTTCATTGGTGTCGACATTGAAAAGACGAACTACTCCACTCGAGTATCCAATGGCGAGAACTTTACCTAAAGAATGCACAAGTTATTTATACTGAAATCTAATAATGAACGCGTTATATATCTTTATTATCCCTAATAAATCAATAATATAACTATTTTCAGCAACACAAACCATCAGGTCGCCATGCTAAAGCTTCAACTTTTTCGGCATTGTAACGTTGAGTTGGCAAGGTCCATATCTTTTCTAATGCAACAAACCACCGCGCGACCCAAACCTCACCGGACACAGAACAAGCAGCAATCAAATCCATCGTGGGGCATATTGTGTATAATTTTATTTGTTCTTTAACACCATGTTGATTCAAAAGACGATAAGGAATACGTGAACTTTCAGAGAATTCCATTTGTGAAAATGAAATTTCAAATTTTTCAATTGATTTTATACTTGTTAAATATCACGTGCTAAAATTTTAAGGATCTCCAGTTTCTAGGCGACTCCCTAAAGTTTGGATTATGTGATATCTTTCTAAATCAAAAATCAAATTATACAGTGGCTAACAAAATTATGAAATATATTTGTTCTGGATTTATTTGACAAAGTTGTTCTAAAAAATCCAGAAAAAATATATATTAAACTATAACTTATGATCTTTGTTTTGATATAAAAATAAAAAATTTTATTAAAAAAATTGAAAACTTTTATTTAAGATAAAAATTTTAATTTTTACTATATTTTATTAATAAAATTGCATGTATAATTCCATAATTCTGTTAGCTACTGTATAATATTATCTTTGTTTTAAGATAAAAATAATAGTAAAAATAAAAACTTTTATATAAAGAAAAAAAGTTATATTTTATTAATGGATAAATTTATTTGTTGCACTTTGTTACATTTCATTTTGTTATAGGTCATGTAATTTTAGAATTATTATAATTTGATTGGCTAAACATATTTAATTCTATAATTATTTATATGGATCATTAGTGCATGTCTCACAAAATCAGATAATTAAATAATTTGTTAAAAAAATAACACATAACTCTTACAATTCATTTCTTTCCAAAGCCTAGTATTAAAGATTAGTATTTAAGTTGAAAAAAAATCTAGTGGAGTCAATAAAAATAACTCACCAATTATAACCACAGCATTCACTTTCTTTTTTGAATTTGCAAATTCTTTTTTAGTGAGTATTTAAAGATCATTTAACTTTCTATTTCAAGTTTCAGAAGTTAAAGTTGTTAATAACTACAAAAAAAGAATCAATGTGGGTGATTATTAATTTTCATTAGTAATTTGCATTCAACTTCTTTTTTCAAAATATAATAATATCACTTATTATTCAATTGAGTTTTCTCAGTCTGCAAATTTTTTTAGATTTCTTAACCAACTATGTTTGAAAAATTTACTTTACGCGTGATGTTCAACAACTTTCAGCAATTTTTTTATTGTCATAGAATATTGCGTAAACACTAACAGTGAAATCTTGATAGATAAGTAAAATTTTGATTTTGTTGCTTTTTTGAATATTTCGCAAAATAATTTATTATCTTCAAATTCTTTTATAAGCTTTGATTTAGTTATAGAATAACACAAAAAATGAAAACAAAGTATTTGTACAGTATTTGAAATTAGTGAAAGGTGATGACATTATTACGATCAGACTCCTGGTAGGTGTTATCGTGATGTATGTGTTCAACCAACGTCTAATGATGGTGTTTTTATAGTTACTCAATCTTGTTGTAATTAGTATACTTCAGGATCATCACACAGTGCATTTTCTTCTATCTTGTAAATAGACTCTCACTATTACTAATAAATATTATATCTAATTAGTGTGGGATAATCCTATAGCAATATAGTACTGATATTTTATAGCAACTTTGATGGTTATCCAATAGTGTGCAATAAATGTAAATATTCTAATAAATTATTATTTTAATCAATTAAGTGTACAAATTTCATTAACAATAAACAAGAAACAGTTTATTAACTAGTTAGATTTTTGTATTGATCATTTGATGCCTTTTTCAAAACCTTATTATTGCTTTATTTATAATAATATTTTTCTACTAATAGATATTACATTTATGATAATTTATATAAAAATTATAAAAATTAAGATAATAAAAATTCATCTAATTGATTTATAT